TTTTTTTTTCTTCAAAATGAAGTTCATAATTTAGAGGTTGAATGACAAGTTTAATGCAGTTGAAGAGTTTTGGTAGTTACACATCAATAGAAGTCTGTACATTAGACCAAAAAGATATTGGGGGAGAAAACAGGTATTTGGTTCCAAAATAAAAGACATTCACTCTAAATCAGACAATTGGCAGCTATGCGAGTCACTGACATGCAGCAAGTGAAAAGTTCTAGCTTTACTTGCATGTTTGTTGCTAGTCAATAATTTAAAATAATGAGGGAATTAGAATTTTCAAGAGCTTTCAAACAATTATCCGCAAAACCAAAATGCCATAAACCTCATAAATGATTCGGTTTTTGAAAACGTCTAACTAGGTATCAAGGCCCATTTTCCATCCACAGAAGGGGAAGTAAAAAGCTACATAAACACAGCCCTAGTGACAATCAAAGAAGGTCTATAAATATATATATATTTTCCTCCACAGCCTTGATCATATTACACTTTTTTTTTTTTCAAAGTGGATTTTAAATTAAGACATTTATTAAAATCCCACACCTTTAAAATTGCATTAGTGAAATAATCCCATCACATCATAAGTCCATTTAGTAAAAATTATTTCTCCCCACAACAAAAGCCATTTTTACTGTTAAGCTGTTGAATGATCCAATAAAACAAATTCACGACATACAAATAATAACTGAACAGCTTTTAACTGACCTACATTTCAGATCCGGCATCTGCGCCCAGCAGTTAACTCCACACACAACTCAATATCAATGAATAATTTAGTCCACTCTATAGATCCTTTCATCAGCATGCTTATAAAGGAGAACTGTTTCCATTCCATGATCACATTATATATATTACACTGTAGCATTAACTTACTTTCTGGTTAAAATATGTTGCCTCATATTGATAACGAGGTATGATTTTCAGTGTTGTGAATTTGTTTTTCCATTTAAAGAAATAACAAACACTCTGAAGCGTTACGAGTTAAACAGCTGCATGCTATGCTAGTGACAGTTGTAAAACACCTCTGTGGATAGATTCCAGTCATCATACGTTATGTCTACCCAAAACTTCGGCAGTAACTAGCTTACAATATGTAAAAAACACCTTCAGCTGATTTTCTAAATCGGAGAAACTCTGGTGGAAATTGTCTGTAGTCCATCGCAAGCAAGCTCCATATTATTATACAGACTATAGCGCCAACAGTTTACGCAGCGCTTTACAACATAAGGGCAGACAGCACAATTAAAATACAAATTAATATAGGAGGGATCAGAGGGCCCGGCTCGTTTGAGCTTACAATCTAAGAGGAGGGTCAATTGATACAAAAGGTGATGGAGAAAAAAAAACAACAAAACGTGCAGTTAGGTGGGGGCAGGATAGGCCTCTCTAAAGAGATGAGTTTTTAGGGATCGTCTATACCTGGACAGAGTAGGAGATAGTTGGACACATTGGGGAAGAGAATTCCAGAGGATTGGAGTGGCTCTGGAGAAGTCCTGGAGGCAAGCATGGGAGATAGAGAGAAGGAAGTCTTGAGAGGATTGAAGAGAATGATTTGGTTTATTACTTCTTAACACAATTTGAAAAACGCTCCCTGGGCATAAACATGCTGGACTCCTTATGACTGCCCCATCTGTTCTAGCCATTGATCCTAATCCCAGGAAATGCAATGAATTGATTTTTTTTATAGCACCTGAAAAGCTGGATTGTATATGGGTCCTACTTCTTCCTAGGACTGTTTGTGAACTTCATACCATTGTAGTACAAACTGCAGACCATAAGTCAAGTTTCTGTGTTTATCCAGCACCCCCCAGGAGGGAAAAGAGAGAGCCCTACTCCCTTAATGGTATACTCAACAGATGTAGAACACTAGCAGCGTAAATCTTTTAGTCTTTACAGAACTGATTTAGCACCTTTTGCTCCTGAAGCAGTATTCTTTCGCGAAACATGTTGAGCAGTTTCACAATGATGGTGGAACCCCCCCCCCCCGTTGTGATATACTATGATGGATTGTTATCTGAAGTATACCAATTACAGCAGAAAGAGGGGAAGTTTTCCTACCACCTGGTATTTGGTGCAATTATATTTATTATATATTGTTTTAAAACCATAAAAACAAAGACTGACTATTTTTTAGAAAAAAAACCATGTGTGAATTAGGTATATTGCGTATTTACAATACATTATAGAATTGTTCTGTTTAGATTTGTTAACTCAGTGACGTTCCTCATATGAAGTCCCACGTGCAAAATAATACTGTGTAATGTGCTGTTGAAATAGGGATGGAGATGCACCACGCTGGTGCACCTGATCACAAACCATTCTTTTTATCTGTTGTTAAAAACCTGTAATGTTCAAAACATTAAGATTTATTAGAATAGCTACAAATATGAAAATATTTTAAGAATTAAAAAAAAAAATGCTCACAAAATGTATTGAGCTAATTTTTAGTGGTTACTGGTTAAAGTGTATGCCAGGGGTGCTCAACCAGTAGCCTGTGGGCCACACATGGCCCACTGAGCCCTTGGATATGGCCCACAACCTCCTGCTCTGGGATGGTCGGTCAGCAAGCCCAGATCATGGATTGCCAATCTGCCATCCCCGAGCATCAATGTGGGTGGAATCGGGACAGGAGGAAGCAAGTGGCTATTTGAGGGAGTATGAGCCACAGCTTCCTCTAAAGCACCAGCTCCTGTTCCAAGCAAAGTGCATTTGGTATCACTTCGCCTGGGACAGGAACCTTTCTAACAGCTATTCCCCGCAGAAGCAGAAAGATAGAAGGTCGGTTTATAGCAGAGTTACATAGTTAGTCTGGCTGGAAAAAGACAGAAGTCCATCCAGTTCAACCATTAAAAAAAATAAAGTTATAATCCTATACCCAGACTTGATCCAGAGGAAGGCAAAAAAAAAACCCCCAGCAAAGCATGATCCAATTTGCTCCTGCTGGGGAAAAAATTCCTTCCTTATCCCCCGAGAAGCAATTGGATATTCCCTGGATCAACGTTATCTATAAATGTTAGTATCCAGAGTATCCAGTTATATTCTGTGTATCTACTGAGCTGGCCAGAACCAACTCTTGAGGGAGTCTATTCCACTTTTTCACAGCTCTCCCTGTGAATTAAACATCACAGTTTAGCAATTGGCATATATGAGCACATAAAAAAAAAAAAAAAAAAAAAAAAAGGGGCCCAAGGCTGCTTTCACACTGATGCGCTGCGGTTTACCTGCACTGTGGGTGCAGTGCACCTGTGGCCAGGGGCGGACTGACAACTCATGGGGCCCCGGGCAATAGGGGATCATGGGGCTCCTGTGTCCTTGCCCAAACTCAAAAAAGCCTATGAAAAAGGTACCAGGAGCATCTCATGGGGCCCCCTACTGACCTTGGGCAGTGCCCAAATTTCCAAATGGTCAGTCCGCCCCTGCCTGTGGCTTTCCTGTGGGTTAGTTGCAAGTCATAGACTTCTATTATGTCCTGCAGGTTTGATGCACTTTCTGAAAGTGCACCAAAACTCCTGAATGCAGGAGTTTTGGTGTGATTTCAGAAAGTGCACCAAACCTGCAAGATTTAATAGAAGCCTATGGCAACGCACAGCTAACCCATAGGAAAGCCACAGGTGCACTGCACTGCACCCACAGTGCAGGTAAACCGCAGTACATCAGTGTGAAAGCAGCCTTAGCCCCTTTCCCACGATCGATCCGATCTGCTCCACCTGTCTGTTCTCCTCCTTTTTGCGATTGTGATTAAATAGTGGGTAAACATCCAAAGAGGATTGGTCCCACAGAAAATGATGATCCTGATTGTTATTTAAAATCTTCATTATGCTATTCAAAATAAAAAAAATTTAATTCTGAACAGTTTCATCTCATTGTGGCCGTGAATGGTTACCAAATCACTTGACCCTTGCTCTTCAAAAGGTTGAGCATCCCTGGTATATGCAAACCCAGACAACACATTTCTCTTATTTTCTTCCTTTTTGGTCTAGTAAATATACAGTGTACAACTGAAAGTATATCTATATAATAAGTAGTTGATTGAAAAAAAAAAAAAAAAATAAACCACGGTTTCTGCCAGAGATCCAGTAAGTTTTTTGTGTTCTCCACAGTCTTGTCTGAAGCAGTAATATCAGACATGCCCAGTTCACCTCTGGACTTTCTGTGCTGAGAAAGAAAAGGGACACCTTTAAGCACAAATTATGTACCGTAGGTAAAAGGCTACATCTCGAGCTACATAGACTGCAGAGAATTAATAAACTAAGTAATTGGATAAACCCACAAATTATTTTTCAGCAATACTTTTACTCTACCTTTTTAAAATAACACATGCAAAGATTTAAAATTAGAGATTGGACAAATGGTTTAGGCATGGTAGGAAGCATTTATTTTGTTTTAAAAAAAAATACATTATATATATATATATATATATATATAAAATGTATTTATATTTTTTTTTTAGTGGTACACACACACACACAAAAAAAAAAAAGAACAGAGGGACAACTGGGAGCAATGCAGAACACCTTGCCCTATGCTATGAAGAGGAGCTCCTGCTGCTGTCAATCACAGCTAGTCAGTCAATGAGGAGAGAGCAGTGGTGGGGCCAAGCCGCGGCTCCATGTGTGAATGGACACACGGAGCAGCAGGTGCCCCCATAGCAAGCTGCATGCTGTGGGGGCACCCGACACATAGGTGGAGCCATGAGAGTCTGCGGGGGACCTGAGAAGAGGAGGATCCAGGCTGCAGAACCACTGCGCACACACACAGTAAGTATAGACATGTTTGTTATTTTACAAAAAAAAAAAATTAATCTTTAGAAATCGCTTTAAGGACTGGTAAGCCTCAACACATGCTTTATTCTTTATACACTTTAACCTCCCTAGCGGTATTCCTGAGTGTAGCTTGGGGTAAAGTTTCAGTACCAAAAGCGGTATCCCCGAGCTACACTCAGGCTTACCATGCGGCGTTGCTCAGGGATTCCCTGCAGCGCTTACCTTGTCCTTCGCTCCCCTGCAGCGTCCCCGGCCATCTCCTTCGGCCGATGGCGGCATCTGGCTTCCATGTTCTGGTCCCTGTGACGTTGGGACGTATGGGCGCCGGAACCGGCGGCAAATATGAAAATTTTAAAAAATGAATTTTTTTTTAAAAGGATTATTACATAGTAAAACATTGCTGTTTCAAAGCATTTCACACACATTTTGTCCCTACTGCTTTGTCCTGTGCCCTGCCTGCATTTTGACTGTTCTTTCTGCCTGGAAACTTAGAAAAGTCCACGGCGTCCAAAAAGCATCCCTTTTATGTCAAAATCGGTTTTAGACCAGCTAGAGAACAGCAATAGTAAATCAGAACCACTTGCAGAATTGAGTGATAATGATTCGTGGGGAAATTCGTCATCAGACACTGAAAATGATTTTGCGACTTTGCTCAGCGATGTGCGAACTTGGCGCTATATTTCAAATTTCAGTGTTTTTGGTTTGATTATATTACTGAATTAAATTTTATTATATTATTATTTTTTTATGAGTATTTATTAAATTATAATTTATGATTTCGTGTTTCAAGTTTTATCATATCCGGAATGTTTATTAGACTCTTGTTCGGACAGATTTCAGTGAGTTATTCCTAAATTACAGGCCTACAATTAAAAAAAACTACATATTTCCATGCAAAAAAATGGTACCGCTTTCAGCACCAAAAATCTGAAATAATTATACCGCTAGGGAGGTTAATGATGTTACAGTACACCTGTCATGAAAGAACTACAGTATATGGACATCAAGTACAGACCATTTTCATTATTTTATCTGTATTTCACCAGATGTATCGTTTTCACTCCATGATGGGTGGGGAAATGTACCATGATATGACTGGTTTGGATGCCACCCACCTTTGGATTTTTGATGTGAGCTATATTTGATGTTGAAGTGAGTATAGTAGGGATCTGGAGTGTAATTAATATATACTGTATCTAATATAGGGGTGGGTGACTTGCTGGATGGTCTTATCGAGCTTGCTGATATTCTCTCTGTGTTTAGTTATTGTAGATTTGTTTGGCATTAGAGGATTGGTGACTCTGTTCTCAATAAGTCTCTGTTGAAGAGATGGAAGTGATTTCACCTTGGTTTATTCTATTTTGGTTTTGTGTTTTGAAACAATTTTTTCCTTTTTTTTTTTTTTTCCTTTTCTGTGCTGTTTGTCCAATGTTTCTCCTTATGGGCCAATTTATATATTGACTAACGTATTGTGTATTGTATTAGCCATGCATGTATATATACACACTATATTGTCAAACGTTTTGGGACACCTGCCTTTACATGCACATGAACATGTTCACATTTATGCTTTTTTGAACTGCTGCGTTTTTGGAAAGGGTCAGCAACTTTTTTAAAAGCAAAAAGCAGCATTTTTCCTATAATAGAGTTCAATGGAGACACTGCTGAAATGTACGGTAGTGCGTTTTTGCCGTGTTTTGCATTTTTGTTCTGTCCAGCAACTAAAAAAGAATTCCACTTTGACAAAAAAAGAAGCCGAACAAAAAAAAAAAAAAAAAAGCAAAATACGGTAAAAACGCATCAAAAACGTGTGTAGAAAAACGCAAAACAAACTGCAAAAAGCACTGGAGATAGCATCAAACACAACATGCATATATGTGAACGGAGCCCAACAGCTTCAACTCTTCTGAGAAGGCTGTCCACAAAGTTTAGGAGTGTGTCTATAGGAATGTTTGATCATTCTTCCAGAAGCACATTTGTGAGGTCAGGCACTGATGTCTGAGCAGTCTTCACTCTAATTTACCCCAAAGGTGTTCTATCGTGTTAAGGTCAGGACTTTGTGCAGGCCAGTCAAGTCCCTCCACCCCAAACTCAGTCATCCATGTCTTTATGGACCTTGCTTTGTGCACTGGTGCGCAGTCTTGTTGGAACAGGAAGGGGCCATCCCCAAACTGTTCCCACAAAGTTGGGAGCATGAAATTATCCAAAATGTCTTAAGAGTTCCCTTCACTGGAACTAAGGGGCCAAACCCAACCCCTGAAAAACAACCCCACACCATAATCCCCCCTCCACCAAACTTTACATGTGGCACAATACAGTCAGGCAAGTACCGTTCTCCTGGCAACCGCCAAACCCAGACATGTCCATAGGATTACCAGACAGAGAAGTGTGATTCGTCACTCCAGATAACACGTCTCTACTGCTGTAGAGTCCAGTGGCAGCATGCATTACACCACTGCATCCGATGCTTTGCATTGCACTTGGTGATGTAAAGCTTGGATACAGCTGCTCGGCCATGGAAACCCATTCCATGAAGCTCTCTATGCACTGTTGTGCTAATCTGAAGGCCACACAAAATTTGGAGGTCTTTAGCTATGGACTCTCCAGACAGTTGGCGACTTCTGTGCACTGTGCGCTTCAGCATGCGCTGACCCGCTCTGTCATTTTACGTGGCCTACCACTTTGTGGCTGAGTTACTTTTGTTCCCAGTTGCTTTTACTTTGTTATAATACCACTAACAGTTGACCGTGGAATATTTAGTAGCAAGGACATTTCATGTATGGCCTTATTGCACAGGTGGCAACCTATCACGGTACCATGCTTGAATTCACTGAGCTCCTGAGAGCGGCCCATTCTTTCACAAACGTTTGTAGAAGCAGTCTGCATGCCTAGGTGCTTGATTTTATATACCCGTGGCCATGGAGGTGATTGTAACACCGGAGTTCAATGATTTGGAGGGGTATGTCCCAATGCGTTTGGCAATATAGTGTTTATTAGATGTATGTTTTCTGTTTCTAGAGATCCTGTGTCATACTTGAGTTTAATGGTCTAAAAAGCGGTTGTTACCACAAAAACGCGTTAATACAAAAGTGTATATCAGCACCTGTGGTAGTGAGCCCTTGTAGATAATCAACTTGGGGTTCCCCATGGTGCAGAGTCTAAGCCCCAGCCTGCTTCTGCACCAAAGCCCCTGATGGTGGGGATGGACTTGCAGCAAGCTGGGACCAGGTCACGACCCTGGGTACACCCAGCTGAGGATGATGAGACCACTAACAGCAGCAGAGTACAATGGGAGGAGACAAACAGAAATCCAATAGACTAGCCAAGGTCAGGAGAGGCAGAAAACAAGCACAGTCAAAGACCAAAGCCGGGGTCGGTACACAAGTAGTCAATGCAGGCTACAGCCAACAGGAGCTCAGACAACTAGGAAGTTGCTCAGGCAAAGTGGCCTAGACTGAGCATGTCTTATATAGGCAGGCATACAAGGAAGCGGGCCAGGAAGTGATGAAGGGAAGGAAATAAAACCCAGAGAACAGCAGATGACGCCCATAGGTGAGCATAGACATACACACATGTGAAAAGGATCAGGAACAGCACTGCAGCGAGGAGGTAAGAACACACAAACAAGAAACTGCAGGCTAACTTGTGACAGTGTAACTCTAAACTGTGACCAGTTTATTTTTTTGTGGATGAATTGTGCTTTTAATATGTTTCTTAAAATTGTTAGGATTTTTTTTTTTTTTTTTTTGCAATTATGGCTTTAGAGTTGGTTATTTATATGTAAATCTATACACACACCCGGTGGGTCACCCTAGAACACCCCTATTTCTTCTCATGTTTTTTCTATCAAGTGCTAACCTCTACATCTAATAAGAATAATGTTCTACCTGTTCGATTGCTTTGACTGAAAATCTATCTCCAGGAAAAAATCCCTACACTGCGAGGGTTAAATGCTTCTTTATGTCTAGGGGTCTGGCAAAAGCATTTTTTTTTTAATCAGGCAAAGGTAAAAGCAGTTTTACCCTCGCTTCCCTGACAGCCAGTAATCTCCTCTATGCCCCTATGCTCTGGTTTGGGAATGGTCCCTCAGCGTCCTTATGTCCATTGCAGGGTTTTGGGCCCTGCATTGAGCTTGCTGACATCAGGGGGCTGGCAACTAGGTAAGTGCTTTATACGGTTTCCTAGATGTACATGAGAATCTAACCCTTGCAGTGTGGGGGCATTCCCGCTGCAATGGAGGATTTCTGGTTTTCCCAGAGGTCAGAATATTCAAGAACTCATGAGTCACTGTAACAGAACAAGTATAGGCATGAAGGATTTTAACTTTTCTCTGGCTTTCACTTGATTTTGTTTCACATCTGTGACTAAGTAGTCCTGAAGTCTGCCAGGCAACTAGCATTTTTAGAGGAGGCCAGCAGTGGCAGTGCATAACTTTCTTTTTTGACTGGTGTTTTTAAAAAACAATATTAACTACAGTGTTTAAATAAAAAAAATCTGTGCCCAGAACAGGTACACTTAAAGTGTTACGAAACCCACAACAGTAAAATCAGTCTGTATATGCAGTAAAACATGCTTATTATACTCAACTGTGGAACCTAAGAGGTTATTCCTCCACATTGTGTAAAAATGTGGTTTGATCCTGACTTCTCTGATCCTCCCCTTCCTCCAGTGCTCCCCTCTTTTCTCCTAAGGCATATATGGGGACACTCTGCACATGCTCAGTTTGGTGTGTATTGCAAGAGAGGTTGTTTTTTTTTTTTTTCTTGGGGGAGTGCATGTGATCAGCACAGGGCCAATCAGCGCTGCCTAGACAGAGGTCAGGGGTTCTGCATCCTCCTAGAGAAAACTCCTACTAGCTTTAACCAGTGCTCTGCTGAACACTGATAGAAGTCACAGGACTGCTGTAACTGCTGATGAGAAAAGGTATTTAGCAGCTTATATTTACTAAAATAATTGCATTCCCATATCCCCTGTACTGTGGGAGGTCGGATATAGTGAATGCAGGGTCCTGGGTTTAGTAACACTTTAAAAACCTCCATGCAGATAGTTTGTGTGAAAAGCAATGTTTACTTTGTACTTTTAAATTTGTGACATTGGAGCCTGGTTCTCTCAGTTTGATGCACAGGTTTTTCTCAAGCAGCACTCACAACATGGAGTTGACAGCTTTATTGCAAACCACTGAGAGAGAATTACATACCAACTCCATGCAGTCTAAGGCTGTCATGGAAACTTACCAGAAGAGTAGAGTTGTACAACATAGGCTTTGGGACAATGAGCAAAAGTCTCTCTCTGCCTTCTAAAACTGGCACTCTAGAGAAAAGGACAAGACTCCAGTTTGCTCCAATACAGAAGCAGTAAACTTAACCTGTTCATAATTTTAATCGTATTAAAAGTAAAAGCCTTTATTATTAGCCAATAATGTCTGCTCTGGGGGGGCTGTCTAATCCTGGTTTCATTTATACAGCTATGGCTTAAAGTTCAGCTCTAGGGCAGACCAACATTGCAGACTCCATACGACTACTTAGAGTCAATACAGATAAAAGGGAAAAAATTATATATATCCATATTGTAATGGGATTTTTCTATAAAATT